GTCACGGGCGCCGCGGCCTTCTCAGAGCGTTCCAGAACGCTCCGAGAGCGTTCTGGAACACTCTGGAACAGATTCATCCTCGTCCTAGCCCCATCCGAGATAGATCGGCGACAAGCCCTCCATTTTGAATCAGGTCGGTCCTGGGCTGGGTGGTATCGGGCCCGTATCAGCGATGAGCGGGCGATTGGAAGTCGATGCACACACCCCTGAGCCTATCCCCCCTGATGTTGCCCCTAATCCCACCCTTTCGTCCACTCAGAATGATCCTCGTCGTCTGGCTTTCGGGTAATAACTCAGGCCTCCGGCGGCCGTTCGGGACGATCTGGGCAACCCTGGACGCCTCTCGGCGAGGCGCTGGTGGAGAGTTCCCCGAGGCTGGAAAACCGCCAAGAACCGACGAGAACGCCCGAAAACCGAGAGCCCTGACATCCGCTGGTATGATATGTTCGATATGCGGCCCCCGAGGTCCCAACCGCCTCCCCTGGAGCAATTACTCGTCCCGGATCAACGCTCGATAGCCATGTGGTCCGATGGCGGGCCCCAGAGGCCGAAATTGAAGAACAACGCCCGGCTTCATCCGACAACAACAAAAAATTAAACAACAAAATCTGACATCTGGGCCTCACTTCCGACGCCGTCGCCTCCCCACGGCCGAGGCACGGCCTCCGCCGTCTCGAACCACATCTGGCAGCGCGCCTTGGCGGCCTCGATGTCCAGCTGGGCGGCCCGGACGGGCGGGCGCGAGGGGGCCCCGGGCGACGCCCGGGGCGCGCCGCCCTCGCCCGCGATCGCGCGACGCCCGAAGCCCACGCACGCGCCCTCCGCAGACGCCCTCCGCGGACGCCCTCCGCCCGCCGCGGCGCGCAGCTGTCCACCCAGGAACGGCAGCTGCCCCCCCGCCCCCCTCGCCCCTCTCGCCCCGCGCCCCCCTCGCTAACCCCACGACCCCTCGCACCATCGCCCCCTCGCCCCCCCTCGCCCTTCTCGCCCCTCGCCCGCTCTCCCCCTCGCTAACCCCGCGACCCCTCGCCGCCCCCCCGCCCCCGAACCCCTCGCCCCTCTCGCACCTCGCCCCCGAGCCCCGCGCCCATTCGCCCCCTAACCCCCTGCCCCTCGCGCCGCACCCAGCCAGGCCGTGCCACGTCGCCGCCTCCTCTTCTTCTTCTTCTTCCTCCTCCTCCTCCTCCTCCTCCTCCTCCTCATCCTGCTAATGCTGCGCAAGAGCCTGCAAGATGCCCCGAGGCCAGCGCAAGACGGCCCGATGGCCGCCCAGAGGCCCAGAGCATGCCCGCAGGAAGCCTGGACTGGGCCCGTGAGATCCAAGGGTCCAGATCTCTCGGGCTCTCACGACGTGAAGAGTCGGGGAGGAGGAGGAGGAGGAGGAGGAGGAGGAGGACCAGTGTAAACCCAAGAGTCGTCAACGATGTTGGAATTAGCCCTCCCTCCAAGCTCTCTTTTTCATAAGCCCCTACAACGGTTCATGTCCATTGAGGGAACTGCCTCGTTCGAAGACAACCGTTCGAAGACCTTGAAGCATGCCAAAACATTACTCTCGGGATTTCCACGTCACGGATCAACCTGACTGCTGCGTCCTGACGATCTGGAATCGCGCTAAAACGCCGTTTTGGGGAATTCAACACCGCGAATCAACATGACTGTTGAACCCGCATAATCCTGAATCCTTTTAAAATACACCTTCTGGTACGTTGATCATGGGAATGCATGAAACCATTGCACGTGGTTAAACGAATGCGCGTAGCGCTCAGGCGAGAGCCACATTCTGAAAACGGCCCGCCCTCAATCCGTGAAACTCTTATAACTTTTGAGAACGAATGCGCGCGGCGCTAAGGCGAGAGCCACATTTGGAAAACGACCCGCCCTCAATCCGAGAAACGCTTGCAAATCTTCAAAACGAATGTGCGACGTTAAGGCGAGAGCCACATTTTGAAAACGACCCGCCCTTCATCTGCTAAACGGTTGCCATCTTTTACGCTTCAGAGTCATAAATAGTAAAAAGTCTCAGGCGCAACGCCCGGCCCGCCCTAAAAACTGGACTCGGGGTGCGACAGAGAGAAATTATGTATAAGGAGAAGGAATGGAGGAGGAGCAGGAGCAGGAGCACGAGCAGGAGCAGGAGGAGCACGCGCAGCACGAGCAGCAAGAAGAGGGGGAGGGGGTCCAGACCTCTCGGGCTCCCACGACGTGAAGAAGTCGTGGCATCGGGGGGGGAGGAAAAAGAAGGAGGAGGAGGAGGAGGAGGAGGAGGAGGAGCAGGAGCAGGAGCAGGAGCAGGAGCAGGAGCAGGAGCAGGAGCAGGATGAGCGGGAGGAGCAGGCGCAGCAAGGAGAGGGGGAGGGGGTCCAGACCTCCCGGGGTCCCACCTCGTGAGAAAGTCGCGGCGTCAGGGGGTCTGGGCGGCCGGGCGAGCGCCCCGCCCGCCTCCAGCCGCACCTTGTGGCTGCTCTTCACCTTCTCGCGCTCCTCCGCGCTGAGGTCTTTCCTGCCCGGGGCCCCGGCGCCGCCGAAGGGGTCGAGAGCCGGAGGACCCACGAGAGGGGGGCAAAACATGGGAAGACGCGACTTCTTGGCAGCAAAAACGATGCCCCGAAGGCAACAAAGCTTGCCACAAGCTGCTCTGTGGAGCCGACAAATCCTGATGCCCTACAGTCATCGGCCTGACAGAAGGAACGATAAACAAGGAACGAAGCCCCTCTTGCCAAGGAATAACGCAGAAGGAACGATAAATGACGCATGCAACCCTAAGGAACGACCGAGCCCCTTCTGAAAAGTGAGTGTTCCTTACTCAAGCCGCTCGCTGTATCCCGGGGCAGAGGCGGCGAGGAGGCCGCCGAGAGGCGCAGCGCGAGCAGCGGAGACGCACCCTGGCGCAGACGAAGATCGTCTTGGCTCGGCTCGCTCCGGGTGGCGTTCGGGCTTTCACACGCTGCACGTGGTGCACCCGTGGTTATCTGGCTCGTCCCTCTACAAGCCTCATGATGTTCCAACCTACTTTCGCCTCGACTACCAGAAGGAATTCCGAGCACCAAGAAATTACCGAAACTTGAGGACGTTCACATGTCGGGCCCTGGGACGCGATACTCGCTCGACACTGGTTCGACACTTTCTGTGCGCTCGAAATGATTAGTGGGATGCGGTCCTTAACTAGGATGGGAGCAGCATAATACAAGCCTCGGGGCCACATGATAAGGGCGGCGACGAAGAGGACGACAATGGCCAAAGGCGTAGCAGAAGGGAGCTGGAGCGGGAAAAGGGGCGAGCAGGGACAGCACAACCTCAACCGCAGGTGGACTGAGAAGCACGAATCCGCGAACCACGGGCCACCGAACTGTCGGCCACGGACCCACAGGCCTCCGAAGTGCTGGTCACAGATCCACAGGACCACCCAGGTCCCGACTGCCAGATCGGCCCTTGCGACAGTGCGAACCCCATGCAATGAGTCATTGCGCTGAATGCGAAAGCCATGCAGTGCAAGCGATGTTGCGCAAACTATACGGTGCAATCTATATGATGCAAACTATGCAGTGTTAGCTATGCCGTGCAAGCTCTATGTGGTGCAAGCTAAGTGGTACAAGCAATGCGGTACAATCCACCTTGCAGAACTGAACGTTGCCAACTCCACTGCTCGCGCAATCATCCCACCCTCCCACCAGCGACTTGTTTTGCACAACCCATGTGGCAGCGAATGCAGTGATTGCTTGGCACTGGTTGGCGCATCTTTGCGGCTGCGCTGGCGGGTGCGAGCTTTCGCGCAGAGCGGCCAGCTGGTCTGGCACAGTCGGCGCGGCCGCGATGGTGCTTAACGATGGGAACTTGTCAGCACGTCTCAAAAGCAGCGCTGACGGGCGGGCAGTTTGGTACGGATCGGTGATTCGGGCGGGCGCGGTATCAGGATGACGTCGAAGACGACGGCAACGATGAGGACAATAACTATGATGGTGGCGATGGTGACGACGGCATGACCAATGACGGCGCCAATGCTGGCGTCGACGATGACGATGATGACGTTCATGTGTCGGTGATGAAGGTGGTGATGACTGATGATGGCGGCGATGGCGGCGATTGACGATTACGCTAACGGCGGTGATGCGGTGGCACTGACGAAGGGGGTGGTGAGGAAGTGCGCGCGCACAAATGCAAAAGAACCTGGCAGACACGCTGCTGGGAAAAACACTGGGTTGTGTCATGGGCTTTTGGGGAGCTCCATCTTAAACTACTTCGAAGGACATTGATTTAAGAAGAACTTCGACACACGCGTGGCGGCGCGCGCGTGCAGCCTGGATGCTATTGTGAAGGGGCCCCAGGACACAAAAATAAATACACACCCCCACTTCCCATATTTTCCTATATTTTCCTGGGAGTCGACGATTAATTGTGTCTGTGTTTTTTCCCCTCCTGATATCATTCGGTACAGATTCGTGCACTGGGCGCATGCTAAATCAACGCGGATGCACCCCGTGGTGAGATGAGCATGCGGGTTCCGCGCGAGATTGGAAGAACCATATGGGTTTCCAATTATATCAGCAAGCGCGCGAATTAAAACATCTGCCTGCAACATGTGTGATGAACAATCTAGGTTTCTTTAACGCTGGCAGAACTGGTTTGTTTGGCATCATGTCGATGGCATGTGCGCGCGCGTGCGGATTTTGCGCCTTTGATTGCAACGTATTATTGGAAAATGCCCTTTTAAAACAAACGAGTGAGCGCGCATAGTATCATCTGACAGTGATGGAAGGACCTGCTGGCTGGAATACTCAGAATTAGAATGGAAGAAGAATTAGTGCAGAGCCCCAGGAGGAGGCGTTCATCCTGGGAGGGAAGGATGGTAGAGGCTTTTCTTTTCCCCAAGCAATGCTTGCCATTAAAAATTCTTACTTCTTGCTCTAACGGATCTGAGCCTGCCTGCCGGTCTGGCGGCTCCGTGGTCGCCGTCGCCACCCCGTCGCCGCCACGTCGCCGCCCTTCGTCTGGACGTGGGTGCCGGTCTGGCGGTTCCGTGGTCACCGTCGCCGCCCCGTCGCCGCCTCGTCGCCGCCGCGTCGCCGCCTCGTCGCCGCCCCCCGTTGTCTGGGCCTGGCTGCCGGTCTGGCGGTTCCGTGGTCGCCGTCGCCGCCTCGTCGCCGCAGGAAAGACTGCACCACACACATTGCAAAACATGTATTGCACAACATGGAGTGCAAACTATATGTTGCACAACATAGGTTGCCCAACACAGATTGCACCGCATAGGTTGCTCCACATATCTTCTTGTTTCTGACAACATATTAAAACCTAAACCCCTTTCCCCCTCTGGACTTAAAAGTCACTCTTGTGGCATTGCAATGTACATTGAATATTGCCCCACTGTCCAGCCTGAATATGAACTCGCACCATCCGAGCCAATCCGGTATCGCCCTGTCCCTCTCCCTGCAAAAAATGCTATACACGCCGACTCGTTTATGAAAACTCATCTATTTCCAAAAATCCCTTGCAACCAAAAAAACCGCGGGAAGTGCACACGCGTGCGTCGTCGCGCGCAGGCCGACATCCTACAATTCGCCGGCCCAACGGGCCAGGGCGTGCTAAGATCTCCGGTACCTGGTTAACAGTATTTCTAGTTCGCGCGCGCGGGGCGGCCCCTGGGGGTCCCCGGACGAAAAGTACCCCGGCAAGGTCCCGGCAAGTCGGGTCAGAGAGATGCCGGAGTTCTGTTTCGGAGTCCAAGAGGGCTCCAGATCGGTCCAAGAGGGCCCCGAGAAGTTTTCTAGACGGTCCAAGAGAGGCCCGAGACGGCCAAAGATCGCCCGAAGACGCCCCAATGGCCCCAAGACAGCCCAAGAGGCCTCCAAGACGCTCCAAGGGCCTTCCAAGAGGCCTCCGAAGAGGGCCCCAAGTTGCCAAAATCGTTGATTTTCATTGGTTTTTTCGATGTTTTTTTGCGTTCTGGCCTTTTCGCTTCCGGACGCTCCAAGAGGGCCCAAGAGGCCTTCAAGACTGCTCCAAGACGGCCCACGAGGCTCCCAAGACGGCCCCGGAGCGGCCCAAGAGCGCCCCCCAGACGGCCCAAGTGCCGCCCAAGGCGGACCAAGAGGCCCCAAGACGGGCCCAAGAGGGGCTCAAGAAGGGAACCGAGAACTGAAAAATCGAGCCCTCCGCCCCAGAAGGCGCCCAGGACCCCGAAAGAGGCCCCAAGAGACTCTCCAAGACACCCCCAAGACGCCCCAATAAGCTCCCGTGAGGCCCCAAGAGGACCAACAACGTCAGGCCCCAGGCCCCAAGAGGACCAACAAATACCGCCAAAAGCCCGCCGAAAGCCCCCCAAGAGACCGTCACGAGAGCTCAGGAGGCCCCCTGGAGGCCTCCCGAGTTCTCCAAGAGGCCTAAAAAGAGGCGCCAAGAGGCCCCAAACAGCCCCAACGAGGCTCCAAGAGGCCACGAACGCGCAAGCCAACGCCTGCGATGGCACAATACGGGCCGGCGGAATGAGCGAAGCGATTAAATAAAACCTGAGAAGTCGTAAGAAATTCAAAATCGAGCGCCCCGAAAAAATATGAAGTACATTGGGATGTGCAGATGTGGCTTCGCAACAGGAACTTCCCGGGAAAAATAAACATGCGCCCGCGTTCTTGCGAATCCTGAAGAAAACCACCGGTTTATCAGAATTGCAACGACATGCTAACAAGCGGGTTCGTTGCGCGCGCGTGTCGAGATCGGAAGAACGCCCCTGCGCGCGTTGTCGCAAGAACCCACGTTTGCACAAAACGGGCCGAAACTCACACGCGCGCGTCGCCACGCGCGCATGTCTAAATCCCTCAAAACCAAAAGTGTCGCACTGATTACAAAATATAATGCCCCGAAAACAACACTGTTTCGCAACATCAGTTGTCAAGAAAGCTTGCGTTCGCGGCCTTGCGAAATCTCAAGAACACCAAATGTCCCAACGTGTTCATTACATTCTGCCGAACAGGCCTCTCGCGCCGCATGTCGAAATCGGTCGAACGTCCTGGCGTGCGTGCTGGGGGGGCACTCCAATAATACCATGTGGGGTACTCTCGCGCGTCGTCCGCGCGCGCATACCATGGGAAGTGCCCTGCTGCCAGCGCCACCGCGGCCGCGGCCGTCGCGATAAACCAGCTGGCAGCAGCGCGCGCGAGCACGCGCGCTAGCGCGACCGCGGCGACGCCCAAGCCAACGCCGAGCAATCATCGCAATCGCCGCCGCATGGGTTTGCAAAATAACTCGGGGGTGGGCGGGCGGGATACTTGCGCAAGCTGTGAAATTGACAACTTAAGTTCGGAAAGGCCAAATGCACAATATGCATTCTCCATTGCAAAACAGATAGTTATACACTCGACCCCCCCTGGACTTGGCGGCCCCCTCTTCACGCTACAATTTACCTGTGCGTCTGGCCCATCGCCGATCGAAAATATGGACTCATAGCATCCCAATCGAACCGGCACATCCCGCCCCCCCCCCCCCCCTCTCATCCTCAACACAAAACGC